CCAAATGCTTAACACCTACGTGCGACCGCACGTGAAATATGCTATCCAGGCATGGCAGACTTGGCAGGAATAGGATCTCGTTGCTCTCGAGACTCCTCAACGAAGGGCATCCAAGAACATCGGGGGCCTCTTTCATCTGCCCTATCAGCTTAAACTGAAATTTCTAAGAATGTACAGCAGTCGATATCGGTGTATGCGGGGGCACCTCATAATATGTTACTAGATTCCGAAGAACCCGAACCATATTTGCCATCCGCTGCTGGAATTAAACCACAACACTAACCTAAGAGGTCATCCTCTGAAACTGGAAATACAGTATAGCCGGCATGAATTGCGTGGAAGTTTCTTTTTCCTCCGCGTGTGTCAGCTTTGGGAGGCTCTCCTTAATTATGTCGTCTCTGCTCTCAATCAGTTGATATTTACAAAAAGAGTTGACGATACGTTGTCTCATTTACATTTTCTTACATAACCTGTTAGCCAAGGGGCTACAAAACGCAAGCAAAGGATGTCTTACAAAACTCTAAACCAATGGATTTATACTTTTAACACGCGAACAACCTCACTATTCTACATAAGTCTATGGTGAGTCCATCATAACGATTCTTACTTTATCATGCAATTTTATTTGCCCAATAATTCACGTCCCACGGGACTTCTTAATCACTGTCTTTTACCCGTAATACACCAATGTTTTATTCTTCCATGGTACCCAGGGCAGCAGAAGCAGTTACACGAGGAGGAGAAAGGCGGGTTACGAAAGAGACTGGCACCGATGGAGCCTATCCCATCGACCTCAAACGCACGTTGCTGTATCACATACTGTCGCGAGTATTTGAGCCAAGTGGACTTGTTAAGTCAACAGCGATGCTACGCATGTCCGCATTTAAAAGCTGACGATTCGGCTGAGTACCTTACCAACATCAGCGCACCATTTGTAGGTACACTGGTCCGCATCCGTCCGATTTACTAACCTAGACCGATAACGCGGTAGGTGTGATATATGTGATACATCATCTATGTAATTGGTCTGTACGTGTGGCTGTCTGCTGATAATCTTGCATTTCAGTGTCTGGTTGTTAATTGTTATTACCGGTGGGGCTGCGCTTAATGTGAATGTTGTCAAGATGCTCACTTGTCTATTACCCACCACCATGTCCATACTAGGTCCATGAGACAGTTGGTCGTTAGTAAGGCAGACTGGGCTCACGGTCCTCGTTACGTTGCTAGACTCAAAGAGTAATTCCATGCATTAAATGTGGAATGCGCTATGACTCAGCCATCGTCTTGTGTACGTTTAATACGCATGAGTTCCAAATTAGACTGATCGGAATACTGCAGCAGTCCATGTCGAAAGGTGTGGACCAACTCTGTTACTGATACATGACTCACATCCGCATGCCTCCCGGTCCTATTCTTTCTGTTTTACCTTGTATATGGAGCGTTTGTTTGGAGCTTTGGGTAGTTCAGCCCAAGTCACCCACTGTCTCTCGGTAGGCGCAGGCATCCTGTGGCTATCCTCCAGATGCAGCAGTGAAAGGCGAATCGGGAACCGGATGCCGACAAACATTGGTTAGCTCAGAATACAGGCACAGATAACTAACAACTAGTGATCAGCTACCTTAGGTAAGCATCAACCAACATCTGTTTGTGTGCAAATCCACTTACAGCAATACGCACCCTGCGGAAAATTTGCACTCCACGCAGCTTATGGTATGCCGATACAGAGGAGCACAGGAACAGGGCACATGACCTAGCAAGCAAAATACAGTATGGAAGCTCATGTATGAAGCATATAATTGGAGCTATTGAAGATATTTTGCGGTGTGAGCAAGAGAAAAAAAGAAAAAAGGCATAAATAGTACGCCGGCTTGCAGTACCGATGCTTCACTGCCAAACAACCACCAACTGTTGTGCGTGGGCTAAAGATAGTGGCATAGTCGCCCGGTTCTTTACGCAGTATCCAACTCGCGATCACCTGAGTGCGAGGCAGGCGAGTGATCGTTTCGACCTTGTGCCGGTAGTGCAAACATTTAACTTTTTAGTTACACATGTCCCTCGTGCAGTAAAGGAAGGATTGTTTCCGTATTATAACGTTAATTAGCGTTACATAGAGATACAAACCCAGTTAAGAAGCACTATCGACCATTTTATAGCCATCCTTAGGTTAAAACGAGAACGAATGCAACAACTCGTTCAATCACTTAAGAGAAGTAGGTGACGCGGTTTTCACGATAACTACTTTTGCTCTGATAGTAAGTATTCAATTAAGATTGTGGAACTCCTAGTATATTGTTAATTATACTATTGAGGCACATTTTTCCCGACGGAATTTTCAGTAAACGCTTTCACACCAAAATATTTGTTTTATATTTTGTATTGCCGGTTATTTCTCAAGATTACAAAATAGGTCCCTCCGCAAAAATTTGGACCCATTTAACGTAAACTCGCAATCTCGTAATACGTCTTGGATCACGTATTATATATATCTCCATGACATAAATTGTTACTCTAATGAGTGCAAGCTTTTTTGGAACTTTGCTCAAGAAACGGCTCTAAATATGACGACACAAACTCGCTTATTTATGGGCATCCCGCAACAAATTTGATAACAGACTGTACCATTGAATGTCCATTTCGAAGCGAATAAATCGCAGAACGTTTTGTTTAATTATGAGATATTTCCCATTTCAGTGAACATAGTTTATGCTACCAAGTTCGCTAAAGACTAGTTGACGGGATAATACATGTTTGAAAGAACAAAAGCATTTGCATCTTAAGGTGTTCAACCTCATGGCCACCAATATCACCCCTCAATAAAGGATGTGGACCAAGGGTGTCGAAAGTTTTGCTCTACTTCAGAAACCTGAACGCAAAGGGGCTCAGAGGTTGACACAACTTACGCTTCAAAATGCCATGCCTCCATTAGATAAGGGAACACAAAACCAGGGAGATTGTGTCGCGAGCCAAGCTGCCTGTGTTTTAAAACCGGAGCGGCTGTCATGAGCTTAGCTGAACCGTTAACGATGTTCTTTCAGTGATTTCTTAACGAGATGCACATCCCCACAATCTGGAAGCATGGATTTATTACACCAAAGTATTAAGGTAGCAGTCTTGCATAACCAGCGAATTATCGCTCAATAACACTTTTTCCGGTTATCTCCTAAATCATAGAGCTCACTGACGCCGAGGCGCTGACGGGGCACCTAGATAGTAGCACAATTCCTTATTCGGAGCAGCCGGATTTCGTCAGAATCGGCCTTGTACTACTAACCTGATGATTGCTTGTACTTGTTAGACGGAATTGGTGGATGCTGGTGCAGGAGTAAATGCAGCCTACATTGATTTCTCAGGTATTCAACCATATAGACTGTCGCATTCTACTGCACGATCTACAGATTTATGTAATTGGCAACCCCGTCCTAGACAGGACAGGCGACTTTCTAGTTTAACATCCCCTGTATGTGAGAGTTAACAGTACCCTATCCAAACTAATCGAAGTTCATTTCAACGCACCGCATTGCTCGGTACTCCGGACCCACCTGTTCTTAGTCATCATAAATGATCTCGCGAGAGTGCTATCTTCAGACTTACTACTACTTGCCGATGACGTAAAAACATTACATGCTATCACTACAGTGGTGGATCACACAACCCTACAAAATGACCTCGACAGAGCGTACACGTGGTTCATGGTGAACTTCCTGCAATTCAACGCCACAAATTGCAAAGTTCTCAGAATGCGCCAACAGAGTGCGCACAACTACCAACCAGGTTCACCGATTCGTCAACTGGCTCATCATAAGTGCTCGTGAAGGATGACCTTGGTTGTTTGAGTCATCAAATAAATCAAACCAAGACCTCGGCCTTCTTCACAGAGCGTTCAGAAGTTTGAAGTCTCAGTCTTTCCGAAAATGCTTGGCGCGAACTTGAAGCCGCATGCGTATTACGCTATGCAATGGTTGCAACCCTGGCAAAAGCACCATCTCTTTGCTCTCGATATTGTATAAAGCAGTTCATCGGAGAATCTAATGATTTGTCTTACATTCTATACCTACTCAGACCTGTAACTCTAAAAATACGCAACGGACATTATCGGTGTCTACGGGGAGATCTCAAGGGGGTGTTTCAGATCCTTAGAAATCCCAAACACACATAGAACGATCTTTTGAAATTCAGCCGAAACACATGGCTGATGGGTCATCAGATTAACTTGGTTGGGCAGCACAACCAACAGGAGTTTCTGATAATCGTTTTTTCTCTGTGGGTGTCGGCCCTGGAAGGCCCTCCCTGTGCGTGTAATTAAGGTTCCCAAATTAACCCTATTCAAAGAAGGCTTATCGATAAACGGTCACCTTTATACTACGTGATATAGCTCCCGAAAATTTGATGACAGCATCAGTGCCAAACAAACTGTTAACTGTGTCATCATTGACTGTGTGCTAATGCAAACCCCATGGTGAGTCCTATATCGCACGCGTTCTTTTACTGACGTTGGTTTTATTTTTTAATTGCTAACCCAAATATCCTGCGGGACTTGTCAAGCATTTGCCTTTAGACCCGTTCTAACCATTGCTGCATTGCAAAGGATCAACTACGCTTAGTATTTCCAAACGCCTGCATATATCTTATCAGATTTAATGAGCAATCAATAAGTTTTCATCGGTTCCAATTAGTATAAACAGGCCGACTCACAGTCATAAACGTTTTGAACAACGGAGTTCTATTATTATGGTCCATATCTACAAGGCACAATCACTCAGTAAACACTGACATGTAAACAGTCTTTAAAACTCTGTAGCTAACTTCAGTAAAGGTAAGTCTCGAAGAGAGAAAGCAAGAATTTTTCTATACCCTTGCCAACATAAAATACTTGACATCGGTTTGTCAATGTTCATGACCAGTTATATAATGTTACTTATATTTCTCTGTCTCCATAACAATGGATGATCAGCGGATTATTCAAACAAAAAGCTGAAAATTGCACGGTAACATCACAGTACCTTGACATTGTCAGGAAACTCCAGCGAGTTGGACAGCGTCAGTAATCTAGTTTTCTGGTCCATTAACTCTTTTTCTGTTTCACTACATGTAAGGAGCTGAAAGTGGAAATATACACACAACAGATGAACAGCGATAGCATGACATATTTTGCTTCATTGACAAAGTTGGACAAATTTTGTAGCATAAAATAAGGACGCGTGCTTCCGTCTTAAAAGCAATGTTGAACCACGGTATTCAGTCGGTATCATCTAAACCAAGAAAAAGTAAAAATAAGATTTACGCAACCGAGTGGGTACATTTTCAGCATTTTACAATAAATACTTAGGTTATTCTACTGTGTCGTCACAAGGAGTGGTGGTATATTTAAGCAAATCGACATTGAAGCAAAAGTGTCACTAAAAAATGGTCTTAGAATCCGCATCCAGTTGACATTGCAGTTTCAACACTGTTGCCTGTTTCGAATGAAGATTTCTTAAGTTATTAAACGCCGTCTGCTAACGTTGCGTTGTACACGCAATGGTTAAAATTTTACTTTTTTAAGAATTAGAGAGGGCCGTATAAATAAATTTGCAGCTAATCAAACTGGTGATAATGCGAAAAATTTGGGGAAGATTAAGAAATCCGCAGTAAACAAAGCCAGAAACCTCAGCCACACAGCGGGTACTCCAAATCTAGCCTTGAATTGCTTAAAGCAGTGCAAGCTTTGCTCACGGATCTTAGAGCAATCCTGCTCAAGGCGTTAGCCTTTAACCAATAGGCTCCGAGTTCTATCCCAACTCAGGCTATCTCCATCTGATGAGTCAAAATGAGGGCGCAACCGGTTATGGGGTGCCCATGTTGAGAGGAGCAACATCAAAACAATACCAAGTCAGAAGACTGTTCAGTGAAAAGGATAAGGCTAATTTAAAGGCCCCACCCCATTCAAGTATTTGCCCTTATCCAGTTTGCCAAATCTGTGATCAGAAACGCCTAAAAATTATGCTCATGTTCAATGTATCCCTATCTATCAAAATTAGTATATTTATCATCGCTTGAGTGCATTTTGTTAACAGAGTATGCGCCATGCAATATTGCTCTCGTATGAAAAAGATTGTGATTTTCTTTTGCATCAATCGACCAAAGCTCACTGCAGTACACACGATTAAAAACACGTCTTACTCTCTAGGTTAGGCACCGAACAAGTTTCCTTTTCTGGCTGAGCGGAACGGAACTTGCAAAAGGAAAATATTGTTCGTTACATGTTGTCTTTCTTTGGCCACTGCGATAGACAGAGCCGTCAGATATTCGGCTAATTTGAACGTCTAAGTAGATATTGAGTTGTTTCAATACGAAGCAAGCCTACCGTTAAGATTCTGCTCAGAGCCGACACTAAAGCAAAAAGCTAGACAGAATTTAAAGGGCAATTACTTCTCCGTATATACTTTTACTCTTGCTCGTGTCGATCAATATATATCGGAAGAAAAACAGGCTAAAGCACGAGTTACCTTCCACCGGACTTCAGGTTACTACCTATGCACATGACTGTGGCTAGCCTTCACAGCAATGACATTCTCTTACTCACTCATTTGAGGACGTGCAAAATGATATGCACGCGAGCTCGAAGACCAGAAAAAGAAAACCTCTCAGAATCTGCGTTGGTGTTCAATGAAAGGAGATGGAAGTCGGAAAGAATGCGGAATTAGACCGCTGTTGATTTTATTTGAAGGTGATAAATCCTCCACGACTTTGTAATCACCCATTGTAACCGGACCGATAAAAAGATGGAAACGTATTTGTGTAAACCGATCTTCAGACACTGAATGCAAACCGCTTTACTGTTGTAATAAGAACTAGTATTCGGGTTTTCCCTATCATGCATCCCAGTCTTGATCCCACGGCTTTAGCAAGTGAAGACTAAACATTGTTTAGCGAATCGTTACCCATTTATATGGTTAACAAAACACCACAAATGACTGGACCGCCAACTATCAGGCCTTCTCTGTATATTCCAGAATGTCCTTGATTATTAGTTTAAAAATTTTATATTTCCAGGGCCAGACTCAGAAATCCTAAACTGCTTTCAAGTATCTTTAAATCTCTAAGGATCATGAGGGTAATGATTACCAAAGTCTAACAAAAGAAACCAATCGAGGTATCCTGAGCCAGTCGATAAATTCGGGCAGATTTCGTGGTAGTGAATGTTCTTTGGAATTCAACTAACATTGGTCTAAGCACCTCGCCAGAGACCAAACTGAATTGTTGTCAGAATTTTTAACAGCTTAGGAAAACTTTCATTCACGTATTCTAAATCGATGGGCAGAAATGTCAACAACTATTGCTGCAGTAGCTCGATCAATACCGCACCGAACACAAATACGGGCAATAACTTCAGAAATAGGAAGCACCGCGGTAGCTCTAACTTGTTATCGAAATTTGATACTTTCTGCTTATCAGCAGATGTGAACAAATGCAGATAGATCCAGTGGTAGGGAAAAATACCATGCACACTCTAATGGTTAATATAAATGCACCGTTAACAATTTACCAACAGACAAACACACATACATTTACACTTATTTGTGGTTGAGTGACTGTTATGGCATGCTTCTATATATATTCCTGTTGTATCATCAACAGCGAAAGAAAACCTGCTTTGAGCAACTGAGATTAATAAATACTCCAAAATTCACGTGGTCCCATCAGGGCTTAGCAATCACAAGTTATCATTGTCGTTGGCCCTTACCCTTTCAAGAATTTTCAATTATACGTGAAATATGAATAAGCGGTGCGTCCACCCATTTCATCGCTGAGCTGCCCGTATAATGCGAGACACCCACGTGAATGAGTGCGAATGAATTGGCCCTTGGGAATAATGACATGAAGTCACTCACAAATACCGTTGTTGATGACCGGCTGGCATGTAAGTTGGGCTAGTGACACTGGCAGGACGTGGAGAGCATGTGGACCGCGGTGTGTTTCGGAGTACCGCATGCTCACTGATCGCAATGTTGAAAGGTCCGCGTTTGAGGTATGTAGCGAGCCGAATCAGCATGAGTCCGCGCGCTGTGCATAATGGCATCCTCACCGAGGTTTCACTCGTCCCTTGCCTTTGTTATTCAGTTGTTCGTCTGAGCTTGCTCCTGGGGAATATTTCAATTCGTTGCGTCACGGTTCCCAGTGCGGTTGCTAAGACATGTAAGTGCCTGAGTCCTTCCTCCAATCGTTCTCACACATGATATGGATTGTTGCGAAACAGACCGAATGTGGTGTTTCACTAGGGGCGACAAACACAAACAGAAAAGGAATTCCACAACCCTCGGGGGGAAGGGGGGGTTAAACTATGCTGCCAGATTCAAGGAATGATCTCAGTTAGGTGTTATTGTTTAACTGCAGTAACTAGCGGCGCACATGATTTGGTTAACTCAGAACAATGTAATCATTAGCAGATTGTCAGCCAATCAGCAATACCCGTGTTTCCGCCAATTTTCATATGGCAAATTACGCGTTTCAACGACGCACTTGGAAACCCGACGTTGTCTGCTCCATATCAGTGATATCATGCTTCAGTTTTGGTTTTCTTGCTTGGATTGTTTGATCTACGTTGTCTTTCCCAGTTGTAAATTCATTTCCTTTTTCTCAGAACAACTGGTTATTCCGAAGCCGTGACGTAGGTCACGTTCAACGATAGAGAACTGTAGGGCCTTCGTTTCAAACTTATAGATATAGAAGCTATGGTATCATATGCAAAGTATCTTACACACGAGTAGTCACCGTACCTACGAGAAATGAATCATTCAGATGCGCAGCTGTCGAAAGAATTGTGAACTTTTTGAGATATAAGCGTTGTTAGCATCAATCAATCGTAGTATGTTCCAAAAGTGGAAGCTGATCTTGTAAGGGTATGCAAGTGTCAGGCTGATTTTGACACATTACAACAGCGACAAACCAGAAACAATTCCCATCGGAACGCGACTGGCTTTATCTTGTTGCAATTGTTGGTCTACCTTCGTGACCTATTGAGCTTCCCTCGGTGACACTTTCTAGGTACCATTATGACTGCTCATCCCAAACGTGTCAATGGTTATTGGTCCGATTAACTCAGTCTCACCATCCTCTTCGATCGTAGGCAGATTTTTATAGTCCTCTTCCCTTAGAAGAGCCCCGAGAGACAACAAGTTTTAGTATCTCACAGATCGATTGGCGTTGAGTACGAGTGTTACGCATTGTCTCTGATCTTGGGGGGTGCGCCACGAAGTGTTTAATGGTTTGCTACATCCCGCTGCATTCCAGGGAACTTCTGGTGACATTGGTGCAAATCCACCAATTCCCACATGAGGTTGCCTGTGCTCGTAAATGAATTGCCTTAGATCCTCAAAGGCCGTATCTGATAGGTCTCAAGCAGATGCCAATGGGACACTGCACAGTAGCTCGGTGTCTGGAGGGTCACCTCATTACCATGAAAAAGCTAAATGCTATACCCGAGTCAATGAATACGTTTGTAACAAGAGACGAAGGTAGTCTTGCGTTTTGCAGCTGTTGAACTTGGAATCTGAAGGGTGGTAAACAGTTTGGATTGATGATACGAATGTCAATCTGTTTTGCGCTCAAACAAAGGGGGCCTCCTACACGTGGCACACGTGCCAAGTGCACTGTAGCGAGCACTCGTGGACATAATCTTCACCTTATCGGCGCAATGACTGTAGATAGACTTTAGAATATACCGTTTTAAGGGGGAGTTATAACGGGGAACGGTGTACGGGGTGGTTCGGCAATGTTTGAAGCCAACGGCACCGCTGTTACCGACAGGTGTCTGTTGATATGCGACAGTGCACCAGGCTACACTGATCTGGAACGTGGGTTCCAATGGAACCATTACCAATTAGGGAGGCTATTGAGACTCGCACCATATTCGCCTTTACTGAACCAAATAGAAGAAGTTCCGAGTAACATCATTGGGAAAGTCAAACATACCATGCGACTCGGATATCCCGAGATGTTGCAGAGATCCAGCTGGTGCGCTTAGTAAAAGAGAATGTAGGATCCAGTTCCTTGAGAAGACTGTATCCGAAGCACGTGTCAGCGT